TAAAATAATTCGAAGTGGTCTGTATTCTGTCGAAACTGCCAGACGCGGATCGCGATTTCGATCTTTTTGGATCTCATCGGCGCGTCGCAGACAGCTCCGACAGAACACAGACCAACTTTTAACTTAAGTTTAACATCTATGTATTAATTTTGATAATGTGTATACGTATTTTACAGTTTATGTTTATGTAATTTAATTAATAGCAGAATTTAAACGGTATATTGTGTTCTGTCCCTGAAACCTGATGCATCCCTAGCCACTGTTCTAATTACAAAGTACTTTACCGAGCATCTTCATTAATCATTTGTACGATTCGGTATTTACGTACGTCTGAGAGTGATATTTGTAAAATGTGGTTGGAATAATAACGTATTGTTTTTCGGTTCCGACTACAGATAATGATTGCGAGGGGTATTGTGTAAGATTTATTGCTCATGTTATTCAGATTGCTCCGTGCTGATTTTTGCAAGTGATTTACCCTACGTTCCTGTTGGGAATTTATGAACAATTTCGCGATATTTCCGTTTCCCCTCGGTTAATCTGTTATTTTCCCTTCATAATTTTAAAGGGCGTGGCATAANATAGTGTATGAAAATTGACAAAATAATCAACTTTCAACCCCCATAACTTTTTATGGGGGTGAGACCGCCGCAATTTTTTTATGGGGTTTTACTCAGGTGACCACCCTCTTTCGATCCCCCTACCCCCACCCCCATCTAACCCCCATAACATTTAGGGGGGTGAGACCGCCACGAACTTTTTATGATACAGTAGTAGGGGAGACCTCCTCTTTCGATCCCACCCACCAAAGGGGGTGGGGGCCATCATCTAGACATTTACCAAAATGTATGAGAAATGTTCTATTTAGTATTTCCTTATCTTTTTGACTACCGACATAAGCCATTGTTATGTGAATAACTAAGGGCAACAAAATTTCGTCATCTTCCTTTTATCGGAGTTTATCAACTTGTTGGAGTTTAATGAATGTAGAAAAGTTTTAGATAACGGCAGAAAACTTCTGAAAAGAAGTCTCTGAAAACATCAGATCCACTTCCGAAGCGAAATCTCGCAAATATTCAATTAAATTTTTCGCCATAGTCGTTTCCAACAAAAGGTTCGAATCCAAAACCACGGAAGAGACACATTCCAAATTGATTTATCCTACTGGATATAAAATCTACAAAGTAATAGTATTCCCCCAACAGGATTGAAGAAACTGAAAATTTACCTGTAATATGCTCCAGCATTGCCTAAGTGATTCAAGAATTCAATCCGGAATCGAACCAATGCCCTCCCGAAATCTAAAAAAAATCTAAACCTCTAAAACAATGATTTTACTGAAAATATACTTACCTTTACCTACTTTCAATAATAATTTCACTAGCGCTGTTTAATGCTTAAATTATTTTATAATTTTACCAAAATATGCCGGAAAGTATCTACCGTGGGTACCATGAGATTCTACGTACTTTTTTACATAATTATCACCTCTCAGAGCTCAATAAATACCATCCACCTCTGAATAATTTCTCGAGCGCTTTCTTATGTTATTAATTTTACACATTTTATCAAAGATTGATGCCGGAAAGTATCTATTTGACACCGCCCTCGAAAACCGTAGGTTCCATGAGATTCTACGTACTTTTTTACATAATTATCACCTCTCAGAGCTCAATAAATACCATCCACCTCTGAATAATTTTTCGAGCGCTTTCTTATGTTATTAATTTTACACATTTTATCAAAGATTGATGCCGGAAAGTATCTATTTGACACCGCACTCGAAAACCGTAGGTTCCATGAGATTCTACGTACTTTTTTACATAATTATCACCTCTCAGAGCTCAATAAATACCATCCACCTCCGAATAATTTNCAACTTCAATAAACTCTGAGTTTAACGATTAATTAATGTGAAAACGTAGAACATCACCTGTGGTGTTATGGTAAAATTCAGATGAACTTTTGAAAATAATATTTCATATTCTGCGTCACTACTTTTATTTACTTTAGTTCATTTTATAGGACGACCACTTGCGTATTAATTAATATTTTAAATTTAATTAAACATGACTGTAAACTCCAATTTAAACAAACCTGGCCACATTTCTGCCCAGAGGAAAAGTTTTGTTCTATTTTATTAAATTTAGTAACTAGCTAGCTAGTATGTCTTTGTACTTTAATTATATTTTATGAAAGAGGAGTTTGATGAAACTTCAGTTACGATTCTCAAAATTTTCAAAGTCAATGTGCTATCCAGTCAACTTGTCAGAAACAAAGAAGAAGAAACAAACAATGAAATCTAAATTTTGTTTGGCGAATGTTAATCATAATAAAACATTAACATCACAACAAATTTTATAAATTCTGCAAAAACTCATTAGTTCAGCCTATTTCAAGAGAAATTCAATTATTACCTGCCATCAACTAAAACTCGTTTTTAATCTTATTATTTATATTTACATACTTTATTAAAATATTTTTGTCTATTACATAAATACACAATAAACATTCTGAGAATAAACTGAATATATTGAATGTGGCATTTATCTACAATGTATGACATGAGTATTCTTTCTTAAAACTTTTTTCTTTGATATTAATGTTTTTATCGTCTGGACCCTTTTTTATTTTATACTTATTGGAATATAAATTTAGTTCTCTACTATCAAAAATTCATAAATTGGATAAACTGTAAACCAAGCTTTTTTACATGGTATTTTTACTGTTATAGGGCTTTTCACTATAAAGAGACGACCGTGTTTTCTGTTTCTCAGAAACCCCAAGTATAAACTTATAACAAGCAAAAACAGCTTTTCTTTTTGTTGTCTTTTGTAGAAAGTCAGCGTAATTTTTATTATGTAATGGGAAAATAGAGAAGTCAAGAAATTCACGTTGATATCTGACACATAGTACCTACTTGTGCCCTACATCTCCATTAAATGTTCCCTAATATGTAAAAGGCATACCTACATACATGTACGCTTGTACGCTACAAATATCTGCATCTACGAAAGGTGAATTATGCACAAATATTACGGTCCATTATATTCCTGACGGAACTTGGGTAATGTAATAAGTCTAGACAAATGATTACGTACAATCTAGAACCGACTGGCGAACTAATAGCATTCATTTACATACAGGTCATGTACAAGGGATGATGATGCATTAACAACAAATAATTTTCTGCGTAGGATTGTAGAGCAAAGAACACACAGTACGTCCGCAGTCAGAGATCGTACTGATACGTATACTGAAACTTCACGTAGTTTGTATGATATAATGAATACGTAGGAACTGATAGGAAACGATACATAGATGCAGGTGTTCACAGTCGGTAGTAGTCAACCCAATGACTGTGAACCCTGTACCCTTCGTTGACATGAACTGAAAATGTCAGTGTGTGTACCCCACTTAAAAGATCGTACCGAGATCTATACTAAAACAAATATTTCACGAAGCATGTATGATATAATCAATGCTAGGAAACGATGCACAGATGCAAGTGTTCACAGTCGAGGGTAACCAACCGCAGTAACTGTGAACATCTGCACCTTTTGTTCAATTGCAGCGCCCTTATGTAAACTGAAGATATCAGTGTATGCACCACTTAAAAAATCGTACCGGGACATAACTGAAGCAAGTATTTCACGAAGCGTGTATGATATAATCGATATGTGGGAACTGCTGGGAAATGGTACATAGATGCAGGTGTTCACGGTCGACAGTAATCGAACGCAGTGATTNAGAGACTCGAGTCGCTCATTGAGAGATCCTCATTTCGTATCCAGTCTCTGAACGAGAGACTCGAATCTCTGAACGAGTGATTCGAATCTCTGAACGAGAGACTCGAGTCGCTCATTGAGAGATCCTTATTTTGTATCCAGTCTCTGAACGAGAGACTCGAATCTCTCAATAAGTAGTGTCTCGATGGACATGGTTAAAATTTTCTAAGTTCAACATATTTCAGAGATCCCAGTCTTTCTACGAGATAGTCGAGTCTCTCAATTTTTCAGTTTTATTCTCTGTGAGAGACTCGAATCTCTGAATTAACAATTTTATCGTTCAAGTCTCTCATACAGAGACTGTGAGAGATCTATAAAAACACCTAGGCAATAACTGAGAGATTGTGAAAGACGCTCTCGGAGGCGCTGGAAAACTCTGAAAGACTCTGAGAGACTAGGGTAATGGTTCAAGCATAAGTAAATCTTTCTTGTTATCCTTGTGTTAGACACGTCCTTTAACAACATCCTAAAATTGTGTCATTTCATAACTCTATCTCAAACCTATATATTTCAATTGCATATCTGCAGACTGAACAAACAAGTTTTGATTTGTTTACGTTAATCCCTTCATTTATTTACTTCCTTTCATTATTATAGAATAATTAGCAATTGCAGGTGTTCTAGAATAAAATAATAAAAACTAATTTACTAGGAAAATTGATCCTATTTGTATTAATGTAAATAATTTTACCAAATAAATTCTGGGTTCAAATAAAATCAAGCAACCTTCCTTCTTTTCTGCTTCAAATACGTCATATATATACCCTCTACTCATTGTGAATATAAATAATGTAATGTAGTTTTTGTTGGGATGTTTTCTAAATAACCTTTCAAAGCAGATATAATTTTACAATGAATGTATTTTGTTGAATGTGATAATAATCTATGCCAAGTCGTCTACCTTTAAAGATAAAAGAACCACGATCTGACCTGTGCCAAGCAGCTAACTGTTCACTGATTCTAAATCAATAATACAGTAATTTTAAAAGACATTTTTATTATATTCAAACTATCACCTTTAGTAACTTTTTACGAATTTAAGGTATTTATTTTAATAATTAATCAAACCGAAGTCAATTGCCTAATACTTATTACTGCATAAGTATAATCAAATATCTCTTTAGTCCATCCCTTAATGCTTAATCTGTAACTGATCGTCACTTTTTTTAATAAAATAAACACAATGTTGTAGTTCAGCCATCTTAGGTGTTCAGATGTTATAGACTAATGTCAATTAATTCTTTTTATTGACAAGTATTAAGAAGTGTACAAAACAAGATTTCCAGTAAGTTTATTTAATGAACGAAAAACTTCTCTGTTTTCTCACTACCGGTGTTATTCTTTAATCGACTGCAATCTTGCTGTTTATCGCCAAAACATCGTCTGCCTTTGTATTTTATCCGCAATGAACATAGCGAAAATGATAACGCGAGCTACTTTTTTGTCACCTACTACAAGAACATCTGTAAGTAAAAAATCTTTTCTCAAACGTTTATTTGCAAATTTGTTTACCTAGTTGATTTGTAGCTGATGTCAAACTGGAAATCGCACCTCAGGCCACTTAGTACGTTCAATATTCACCGTCAGAACAGTCAGTTGCATCTCGTTCAAAGTCCGATGGTTGAACAGAAAAGTCAAAAAGTTAACTTTTTACCATCAATTCGTAGTTTTCAAAAGTCAGCTGTGTACAGAGATATTGACACTGCAGCTAAATTTATTGGAGCCGGTGCGGCCACGGTCGGAGTTGCGGGTTCAGGTCTGTATTATGTGGCCAAGCTACGAAAATATTTTGGGCTAGAAGATTAGGAATGTTAAAAAAGAACAAAACAGATTTAAACGCTACATCTGAATTAATTATAGTAAAAAAAAATACAAATGATAAAATCCAAGATAAACATCATCGATGAACCCATTTCTTCGTTTTATGCGAATGTCATGTATTTTTCATTATACCTTTACTAGGTTTTATAGCTTCTTTCGTATTGATGTCCTAAATACGTGTCAAAATTAATTTTTTCTACCCCTAGGGAATAGTATTTTTTTATAAAAGGGACCCTATGTCCTTCTCTGTACCCCTGTACAAAATTTCATCACAGATTTTACCCACGGCTTCGCTCGTGTTGATGTCGTAAATACATCGACGATAACATAAAACTAATTTTTCTATCCCTCGGGAACAGTATATTTTTTTCTGGGAAAAACGTAACCTATGTCCTTTTTTGTACCCCTGACAACATGCGTAGAAAATTTCATGACGATCGGTTAAGTAGTTTTGTGGTAGGTAAGTACATTAACAAATCCATTTTGAAACTTTTCATTTTGAACGGTTAAAAATATAGATTATAAGAATTTCACAAAGAAATTCATCCAATTTTGCTTAACACAACAAGAGCGCTCACGTACCAGTCGAATTTTCTACCATCAACAAATTCATGTAATTTAAGACGTTTTCGATCAATATTAATAACAAATTGATTTTGATTAAATTTTACCTACCCTATTTTTTTGTTTTGTGTACATCTATGATAAAATATGTTTTGAAAAAGAAAAACTAATAATCAGACTTTTCGATTAATAACCCCAACCCCATGTTTGTATTTCCCAAAAAAAAGAACACTGTCATTAGATACTTATTGAAACGCTATTATAGGTATTGGTATTGGTCTGGTATATGGTTCATTAATCATTGGCTATTCAAGAAACCCATCCCTCAAACAGCAATTATTCTCATACGCTATCTTGGGTTTCGCCCTGTCAGAAGCCATGGGTCTGTTCTGTTTGATGATGGCCTTCCTGCTTCTGTTTGCCTTCTAACAAGTGCCTCGTGCCATGATTGCTCAAAATAACGCCAGTCGCCGTATCCCTTAATTTTACGCCTTAAAAAAATAATTCCAGAATTTCTTCCGCGATATTTTTTCAATTATTTATACCACCACTGTTTTCCGATACTATTACAAATAATGGTAGTTTTGCACTTTAACCCTGACAATTAGGATTATAAATAATTTTAGGCTCACACACATTTGTGTTTGACTATTATGTTGACGTATTTTATACTATAACATTATATCATCTATTTGATGTAAAGTACAAACTTAGAATGTAATAAATTCGTTTATTTGAATAAATACTCTTCGTTTTTTCATTTGCAGAGGTGTCGACTCATACTGTCTTAGGTTTTGCCCTATCACAAGCCAAGGGTTTGTTCTGCTTCATTAAAAAGAATTCGGGTTCTGTACTGCAAAGTAATCAAACCGTACTCATGTTCAATGACACAGAATTTGAAAAAGGAATATATATGAGCTCATCAATCTTATAAATCTCATTCACTCTAAATTATTTTACGTATTTCAGCATAAATGACGCTGGAATATACCTATTTGACACCGCACTTAAAAACCGTTGGTACCTTGAAATTCTGCGTACCTTTTTGCATAATTATCGCTTAACAAACCTTACTAAATACCTCCCACCTCTCAGTTATTTCAAGAGCGCCTTTTTATGTCTGAATTATTTTACATATTTCAGCATAAATGACGCCGGAAAGTACCTATTTGACGCCGCACTTAAAAACCGTTGGTACCATGAGATTCTACGTACTTTTTTACATAATTATCGCTTAACAAACCTTACTAAATACCTGCCACCTCTCAGTTATTTCACGAGCGTCTTTTTATGTCTGAATTATTTTACATATTCCAGCATAAATGACGCCGGAAAGTACGTATTTGACACCGCACATAATAACCGTTGGTACCATGAGNTCTCAAAGCTCAATAAATACCACCCACCTCCGAATAATTTCTCGAGCGCTTTCTTATGTTATTAATTTTACACATTTTATCAAAGATTGATGCCGGAAAGTGTCTATTTGACACCGCACTCGAAAACCGTAGGTACCATGAGATTCTACGTACTTTTTTACGTGATTATCACATCTCAGAGCTCAGTAAATACCTTCCATCATTAAAAAATGTCATGAGCGCCTTTTTATGTCTATTATTGTTAATATTTCAATTAAATTAATGTCAAAAAGTATCTATTTGACACGGCACTTGAAAACCGTTGGTACCGTGAGATTCCACGTACTTCTTTACATAAATATTAGTTCTCAGAGCTTAGTAAATACTTTCCATCTCCTTCCATCACTTATTTGTCGAGCGCTATTTTGTTTCAATTATTTTACATATTTCAGCATAAATAATGCCGAAGTGTACCTATTTGACACTGCACTTGAAAACCGTTGGTACCATGAAATTCTGCGTACCTTTTTACAAAAATATCATTTCTCAATGCATAGTTAATGCCTTTCATTTCCCAACAATTTTACGAGCGCATTTTTATGTTCATATTATTTTATATAATCTAGTAAAGGTAATGCCGGAAAGTACTTACTGACACCGCACTTGAAAACCTTTGACACCACGAGATTCTACGTAAGCACTTTTGTAAATAATTATCATTTCTTTAAGCTTATCTTTGCGACAAATCTATTTTTTTAAATTCTTATAAAACTGCAGACCTAATACGATGTGTTGGTAATAAAAAGACTTGTTTGAGTGGAAGATCAATATACACGACCGCACAATAAAGGAATGATAAGGGTAAACGAAGGAAAAAAATTATTATGTTAATAAACCCTAATAAAAAAGGTAAAAGGTCTAGATCCTCTTTCTAGAGGAATATGATGAAAACTGAAACGTGAGCAGAATTCAATACGTTTTTCTTGCTACAACACTATCAAATACAGCTGTGTAAATCTATATCAGTTCAGATCCCCCCCCCCCCAAAATAATTCACGTCCTTCGCTAACTAACCCCCTCGTCTAGTGCGAAATCCAAAGAGCTTATAACTTTATCTATAAAATACGACAAGCAATAGATTAACTGGTCGAGACCGCTCAATCGATCATATTGTACAATAACCTTCTACTGTAATTTGTTTGTAACAGGTCAATTGAAAAGTCCCCGGCCTAAAATAGTAAAACACATTTTTTTTTGCAAAATTCGTTTTGTTTATTCAACATAATTCCCTTCAAGAGTGATACACTGATTATAGCGATCCTCCAACTTTTCGATATCATTTTTGTAGTACGATTTGTCCTTTGCTTCAAAATAGGCCTCAGTTTCGGCGATCACCTCTTCATTCGACGAAAATTTTTTCTCAACGAGCATTCTTTTGAGATCTGAGAACAGGAAGTAATCGCTGGGGGCCAGATCTGGAGAATACGGTGGATGCGGAAGCAATTCGAAGCCCAATTCATCAATTTTTGCCATCGTTTTCACTGACTTGTGAGACGGTGCATTGTCTTGGTGAAGCAGGACTTTCTCNAAACTGAAGATATCAGTGTATGCACCACTTGAAAGATCGTACCGGGACAACTGAAGCAAGTATATCACGAAGCGTGTATGATATAATCGATATGTGGGAACTGCTGGGAAATGGTACATAGATGCAGGTGTTCACGGTCGACAGTAATCGAACGCAGTGATTGTGAACACCTGCACCTTTTGTTTCATTTTGCAGCGCCCTTATGTAAACTGAAGATATCAGTGTATGCACCACTTGAAAGATCGTACCGGGACATAACTGAAGCAAATATTTCACGAAGCGTCTATGATATAATCGATATGTGGGAACTGCTGGGAAATGATATATAGATGCAGGTGTTCACGGTCGACAGTAATCGAACGCAGTGACTGTGAACACCTGCACCTTTTGTTCAATTGCAGCGCCCTTATGTAAACTGAAGATATCAGTGTATGCACCACTTGAAAGGTCGTACCGGGACATAACTGAAGCAAGTATTTCACGAAGCGTATATGATATAATCAATATGTAGTAACTGCTAGGAAAGATACTTAGATGCAGGTGTTCACGATCGCGCTGACTGTGAACACCTTCACCTTCCGTTTATTTGCAGCGTTATTACGTGAACTGGCTATTATTTGTTCTTACTTAAAATCCTTATAGCAGTATAAATCAGAGAATATGACAACGAAGTTATTTTTACATCCCCAGGTCTTATCAAAATAATATGGTATAGGGTCGTAAAAACAGCCTACAACAGCATATTTCATCAGCATTTATCCAAGATATGAATAGGGTGAAAGTAGATAAGGTTGAGTAGACGCTGTTAAAATATTTTTCCAAACTTTCCGTGTATTCCTATGGAGATGAAATATTTTAATGGACATGAAAAAAATAAATTGTTGAATCAGCAGTTCATTAATTTATGATTTATTGCAATACTTAAATCTAGCCTTGGAGAAATATAGTACTTGAATATTCAAAGGTTTAAATTGTTAATATTATTAAAGAATTTCACAAAAAAATTGAAGGTTGCAGTTGATAACGGCAAACTACAATATTCTGGAAAATTTACTGCTAAAATAATTGCTTGAGGTTATAAAAATTTTACAAACAAAATCAATCAACAACCTCTTCACTCTGAAAACCTACAAGTTTAGATCAAAAACTAATATTGTTCAATTTTCATCCAAGTTCATAAAAATGCGTCTGTATTTGTTTTGTGTTGTGTTGGATGAATAGGGTTGTTTGTTACAAAGTTAATTACTAAATCTTTGACTTTTTGTCTTAAAGACTTGCTACAAAAATTAAAGTAGGTATCTTTTTAAAAACTTCTCATATTTGACACAAAAAATTCAAGACACTATAATAAGTAGTAAAATTTAAAATATAATCCTTAAAAAAAATTGTAAAGCCACTGAATTAAATAAACACAAAAAAATGTTGCATTTTAAACAAAATATGCAGTTGTATCTGTTTATCACGTTTACAGCACAATTACATCGTTGATAAAGGTTCATTAATTTTTTTTCGTTTTTATTTAATTTTTACTTGTGAGTGATTAGATTATTACAACAGTAGGCAATAATTTGACTTGACCTTGAATGTAATAGTCCTTTATTATGTAATAAGTTAGCACGGGTTCCCGCAGGGGGGATTAGGAGGAGCCGTGCTCCCCCTCTTTAGATTTTGCAACTGTGCATTTGTACGTTTTTATGCACAATTTTTAATTTATAATAAAATATCATTTCATTGACACAAAGTTAGTTAGTTTTGTGTAATTTAATTTGTTCCTATATTTTGTTTTGTTACCTTTTTATGAAAATAAATGTCACATGAAAAAGAAATGTTTTGGCCCCCATGGCACGTANCCTTTTTACATAATTATCGCTTAACAAACCTTACTAAATACCTGCCACCTCTCAGTTATTTCACGAGCGTCTTTTTATGTCTGAATTATTTTACATATTCCAGCATAAATGACGCCGGAAAGTACGTATTTGACACCGCACATAATAACCGTTGGTACCATGAGATTCTTCGTACCTTTTTACATAATTATCGCTTAACAAACCTTACTAAATACCTGCCACCTCTCAGTTATTTCACGAGCGCCTTTTTATGTCTGAATTATTTTACATATTCCAGCATAAATGACGCCGGAAAGTATCTATTTGACACCGCACTTAAAAACCGTTGGTACCATGAGATTCTTCGTACCTTTTTACAAAATTATCGCTTAACAAACCTTACTAAATACCTGCCACCTCTCAGTTATTTCACGAGCGTCTTTTTATGTCTGAATTATTTTACATATTTCAGCATAAATGACGCCAGAAAGTACCTATTCGACGCCGCACTTAAAAACCGTTGGCACCATGAGATTCTACGTACTCTTTTACATAATTATCGCTTAACAAACCTTACTAAATACCTGTCACCTCTCAGTTATTTCACGAGCGTCTTTTTATGTCTGAATTATTTTACATATTCCAGCATAAATGACGCCGGAAAGTACGTATTTGACACCGCACATAATAACCGTTGGTACCATGAGATTCTTCGTACCTTTTTACATAATTATCGCTTAACAAACCTTACTAAATACCTGCCACCTCTCAGTTATTTCACGAGCGTCTTTTTATGTCTGAATTATTTTACATATTCCAGCATAAATGACGCCGGAAAGTACGTATTTGACACCGCACATAATAACCGTTGGTACCATGAGATTCTTCGTACCTTTTTACATAATTATCGCTTAACAAACCTTACTAAATACCTGCCACCTCTCAGTTATTTCACGAGCGCCTTTTTATGTCTGAATTATTTTACATATTCCAGCATAAATGACGCCGGAAAGTACCTATTTAACACCGCACTTAAAAACCGTTGGTACCATGAGATTCTTCGTACCTTTTTACATAATTATCGCTTAACAAACCTTACTAAATACCTCCCTCCTCACAGTTATTTTACGAGCGCCTTTTTATGTCTGAATTATTTTACATATTCCAGCATAAATGACGCAGGAAAGTACCTATTTGACACCACACTTAAAAACCGTTGGTACCATGAGATTCAACGTACCTTTTTACACAATTATCGCTTCTCAAACCTTATTAAATACCTCCACCACTCAGTTATTTCACGAGCGCCTTTTTATGTCTGAATTATTTTACGTATTTCAGCATAAATAACGCCAAAGGTGCGTATTGGAGACGGCAAATTAAAACTGTTGGTACCATAAGATTGTATGTACTTTTCTACATAATTATCACTTCTTAAAGCTTAGTAAATACCTTTCATTTCCCATTAATTTTACGAGCGCTTTTTTATGTTCATTTGTTTATAAGGTCGAATTGCTGGCCTTTTTATGGATGCGAAATGGAATAGAATATTTGAATTTTTGTCGGGCCTGTTTAATTGCAATATAAATTTTAAATGTTAAATTTATTTTGAATTCTGTCCACCCTGCTGCCATCTTATAACAAGTAGCCATATCAGAGTACAAATTGAAGATGCGTGAAACGAACTGCATACAATAATGGACGCCACCGCAGAGAACTTGGACGACTTTAACAATCGAGCGCATGATCAAATCGAAGCAGTACATTCCGTAGTTGCCGGTTGCCGTCTTGCTATCCTATTTATTTGGTGAGTTGGTGAAAGATTTTAAAATATCTTGTGAAAAATAGTTCATCGTCTATGAAAATTGAAAAAATCGTTTCAATAAAAGTGTATGTGAAATGAATCTGTAATTATTTGTTTGGTCCATTTGGATTTTACGGTTGTTAAAACTTCAGCCATTTTATGTAATGAAAGATATAGCCTCAGACGTCAAATTAGGAGTTGATTTGTTGTAGGATTAATTATTTAGGATTGTTTGAAAATGAATTTAGGATTATCTTACAAGAAGCTTGATTGGCAAAGACTGAAAAAGACTCTTTGGTTTTGTGTTACGTAACCCGTTTGACGAAGTCCACTTGATCGTTACATGTCATTGAAATTGCTTCTAATTTTCTTTTAGATTCACGGAACAGCCCCCACAAAAATATAGCAAATATGTTCGCCTGTGCAAGACTTATCGCACCTGCTGCACGAACTGCCGTAAGTTCTTTAATAATTTTTTTTTACTATTTGTTAAATAATCCACTTACTTAATCACTACTAACTGTATGGGTATCAAAATATTCCTGTTAGAAAACAATTGAATACTAAATTGAATTAGATTACATAACATTTTTTTTATTAATTGCTGATTTTCATTTATTTTTCTGCTTTTCATTTGTTGGAATGCATGTAGTGATAGTTACATAACCCATTATTGCTTTCAGTTAATATAACTGGATTTACAATTATCAGTTTCTTCTTCTTTAACATTAATTGGTAGTCTATTGCAAATATTTGAGATATTTTTCACTTTTAAAATCTTAGTTTTTATAACCTCTTTAGGGACCAGTTGATGGATATTTTGTTTTTAATAAATGTAGGTCAATGTAAGGTCATTAATGCAAGAGAAGTAAGTATTTCTAAAGGCTTCACAATGTTATCATTCAGTTAAATATTATGAGCATATATTTAATTGTTTCTCAGTTTTAAAGCACCGCATTACATAACATTCTTATTGATGAATTAATATTGCCTTGGGTTGCAGATTTTCCTTAATTTCAGCCCCAAAATTTAAGTAGGTATGAGTTGCTTTTGGGTATATTAATGTTTCTTTTTTAATTTTTTTGCAGCTTATTTCAAACTCAAAGGCATACCTTAGGCCTCTTAGTTCAATTAGTCAAAGCAGTCAATTGCTAGTCCAGAGTCCTGCAGTCCAGCAACAGAGTCAGAAGCCAGCATTACTGCCTGCTATTCGCAGTTTTCAGACTTCAGCAGTCTCAAGGGACATTGACTCAGCAGCCAAATTCATTGGTGCCGGAGCTGCCACAGTAGGAGTAGCTGGTTCAGGTATGTTTCATAATCAGATTGTTTTCTTTTTTTCGGTTTTTGTCATCCTTTTTAGTATTCTTTTGAACATTGTCTTAAAAATGTATCCTATGTTTAGGTGCTGGTATTGGTACGGTGTTCGGTTCTTTAATCATCGGTTACGCCAGGAATCCATCTCTTAAACAGCAGT